GGCGAGGCCATCTCGCGCACCCTGCAGGGCGCGGCAGCCGCGATCAAGGCAGCGGTGCCCGAGCCGCCGCCCAAGTCGAGGGCGCAGCGCCTGGGCATTGCAGCCAAGGCCCTGCAGGAGGCCAACCAGGCGTACTCGACGGCTTTCGCGGCCAAGAAGAGAGCTGACACGGTTGCCCAGGAGGCGAGAGCCAAGCTGGACGTGAAGGCGGCAGCGGTGCTCAAGGCGGAGAGAGAGCTCGAGGCCATCCAGGCCGAGGGCCGCGACCCGCCGAAGGGCGTCCTGGAGCAGCTGGTCAGCGGCCAGGTGGAGGAGCTGGCGGCAGGTCAACTTGCAGCGGACATCGAGCGCGAGCTCAACCTGACCGCAGCCGACCTGGACGACGAGGGCCGCAAGCAAGTGGAAGAGGTGAAGAAAACGGTCGTGGCACAGATGAAGGAGAATGCGCAGACCTTCTCGACGCAGCTGAAGGAGCACCTGGCGGCGGCGAAGCTGAAGGCGGCGGAGCAGCAGGCCACTATCCACCAGGCGGCGAAGAAGAGGAAGGCTGAAGGTGGCGGCGCAGCGGAGCCCCCGCAACAGGCGGCGCCTGCTGCCGAGCCGCTGCAGCCAGCAGCCACGCCTCCCGCGGCCTCGGCACCCACGGCTGGGACGCCACTGGCTGCGGGAGGCGGCGACGCGGAGGCTGAGGAGCACCTCAGGCAGCTGAGGGAGCAGACGGGCGGAGGCAGCCCAGGGGGGGCAGCCTCGGCCTGAGGCCAGGCGCGCGGAGCTCGGCGCCAAGGAGGCGGCGCCGCCGAGCCTCGCGAGCGCACGCTGTTCTGCGCGAACCTCACCAGCTGGGGGCCCACAGCCAGGCTGTGGATGGCCAAGCAGAAGCTCGGCCAGGGGCACGACGCCTACGCGTTCCAGGAGACGCACGTGGGCCGCTCAAACTCAGATACCGTGGAGTGCGAACTTGTGGAGTTGGGATGCAAGGCGTGCTTCACGGCGGCGAGACCCAGCTCGCGATCTGAGCAGGGCACTTCCGGAGGGACGGCGGTCGTCATGAGGGGGCACCTGCGGACCTCAAGTTTTCGGTGCCAGGCCAGGCAGACCACAGTCACGAAGGCGACGACCGACGTGAGCGGGGAGTGGAATGCCGACCTGGACCTGTGCGACTAGACCCAGTCACGTGTCACTTGAAGGTGACGACAATCACGGTGATCAGTCTCTACCTGGACGTGGGCAAGTCGCTGCACGAGGGCATCAACGCCCGCAAGCTGACGGCCCTCGCCTCGTTCTTTAAGGGGCTGAGCGGCGCGTGGATCGTCTGCGGCGACTTCAACAAGGCGCCGACGGAGATGTGGGACTCAGGCTGGCCCGCTGCCATGGGGGCGACAGCCATCGTCTCGCTGCCCGACGGCGACTTCACCTGCCAGCTGGGAGAGCGCGAGTCGATGATAGACTACGCCCTGGTGAACGAGCAAGGGCAGAAGCTGATCAAAGGCGTAGAGGCGGTCTACGACGTGCCGTGGAAGCCGCACATTGGGCTGAAGTTCGCGCTCTACGCCGAGGACAAGGAGACGAGGACCTGCTCGCTGCGCATGCCCCAGCCCTTCCCTCATCCGCCCCGCCCCAAGAAGCAGCCCAACCCAGGCAGCAAGAGGACGAGGAGGAGAGTGAGGGGGGAGGCAGCAGCGCAGGCGCAGGCAGCAGCGGCTGGAGGAGGAGGCCAGGAGGAGCTTGAGCAGCGCCCACCGCCCAAGGACTTCGAGCAGGCGCTGTACAACGCACGGTGGGAGGCGCTGGCGCCAGCCGAGACGGGCTGGACGGACTTCCCCGCGGGGGATAATCCTGGCGCCGAGAGCGCAGGCACTGTAAGGATGGGTGGGGAGGAGTCAGCTGCGAACCATGGGGATGGGCCCCCAGGTTCGGCAAGGATGCGAGCGGCACCAGGATTGCCAGATGCGGACGCAGACCCCTTCGCAGATCTAGACGATCACATCGAAGAGGAGCAGCTGCTGCACATGACAGAAGGCCTCGAGGCGGAAGTCCCTGACGAGCCCAGAGGGCATGACGCGGACTACACGACCAACACCATGGTAACCAGGACCTCGTCAGTACCAGCGCGACCCCACACCCTGGGGAACCGCCAATTGGACCACGAGGGGGAGGGCGCAGCCCGCGGAGACCATGAGCACCGCGAACACAGCGAGCGGCATAGTCGGGGGACCTCGCCCGGGCCAGAGAACAGCAGCAACGCGGAGGACCTGAGGAGGCGAATCCGTGAGGCGGCTGCTGGAGTGGGCACCACCACCATGGGCCACGTCTGGGAGACGGCGCGGGCCCTGCAGGACCAGGAGCAGTGCGAGGCCTCCGAGATCCCCTCCAACATCAGCAACTGCGCGGCCTACCAGGTGGACGCGGCGGCGGCGAGGGAGCTCGGAGACCGCTTCGCGAACACCACCGGCACGCTGGAGAGGTTCTACTGCATGGCCTACCGCATCGACCCCGTCGACAGGCACCACTTCACGGGCCGCGGCAAGGCCTGCGAGCTGAAGGCCACCAACACCAGGGAGTACGGAGAGAGGAGGTTGAAGTACAGCGAGTACAGCGCCGACTGGTGCGCCAGGGCCGAGGTCCTGCTCGCCATGCTGGCCAAGCTGAGGAGGAGAGGCACAGGAGCGAAGCAGCAGCGCGAGCTCGCACGAGCAGGACGGGAGCTGGCCTACGACGGCATGCCCCAGGCAGGCCGTGAGGCCTCGGAGACGGCACGCCTGCACCGCAGCATCTGGCGGCAGAGGCTGGCGGCGCTGGACGACCTCGACGTGGCCATCGTCGAGGGCATGGCCATGCAGGCCGAACAGGAGAGGAGAGCGGCGGTGAACAGAGACTTGAGGAAGGGCACGCGAAGCTTTGGGCGGTGGCTAGCCGCCGCCGAGAGGCAGCCAGGCGCGCTCCACAGGATCACCAAGCCGCCCAGCAGACGTGAGGAGGAGCTGGCAACGGAGGCGGGCGTGACGGACAGCCCGATGGAGATCGTGGACGCCAGGGCCGAGGCGTTTGCGAAGATCTGGAGGTGCGAGGAGGTCGCCCACGGCAAGCACACGCAGCTGCTCGGCGACCTCAGGAGGCGAGCGGCAGCCGTGGGCGCGCCACAATGGACTGTCGACGACCTGGACCTCGCCCTCGCGGGGGAGTCCGATAAGGGCCAGGGAGTGGACAAGCTCTGCTGTAGCGACATCCGTCGGCTACCGGCGGCGGGGCGCCAAGCCATCGTGGACCTGTGCAACGAGTGCGCGCTGAGGCTGATGTGGCCCTGGCAGCTCCTGAACGCGCTGGTCATTATAATCCCCAAGCCAGCCAAGGGCGACCGCGCGCTGGCCCTGCTGCCGCAGCTGGCGCGCTGCTGGGAGCTCCTCCACAGGCCCGCGGTGAGAGCGTGGGCGAAGCAGCAGGAGCGTGAGTGGGACGCGGCGGTGGCAGGCAACAGCTGCAAGAGGGAGGCGCTGATGCGTATCCTCTCGGACGAGTGCTGCGACGCGCTCGGCATCTTCCAAGGTTGCGCGCTGGCGGACATTGAGAAGTTCTACGACAGCCTGCGCATAGATACCCTAACTTCTGCCCGAGGCTCCTCACCATGCTGCAGCTGCAGCACTCGGGGGCCCGCATCTCGAGGTGCAAGCACTCGCACTCGGAGCCGATGCTGGCGGACAGATCGATTCTAGCGGGTTCGAGGCATTCCAACAACGTGGCCAAGACGGTGGTCTACGCGGTGCTCAGCCACATGGTCGACGTCGCCTCGGCGCTGCCCAAGCCGACGCCTCGGGCCTGGTTCGAGGACATCAGCATCAAGGTCGTCGGAAGCAAGGAGGCGGTCACGGAGCAGCTCACGATGGCAACGAGCAAGCTGAAGTGGGGGCTGGGGCAACACGGGCTCAGCCTAGCAGACAAGACGCTGATCTGCACCTCGGACTTCGGCTCCACGCTCCAGGTGCAGACCAGGCTCAGCCGGCTTGGGATAAAGGTCAAAGCGGTCACAGAGGGCAGAGATCTCGGAGTTGATCGTGCAGCAAGAGGCACGACCAGGAGGCTCACGCACGCGAGGAGGGCCAAGAACGCGAACAAGAGGTTCGGAGCGGTTGGCCGTAAGCTGCGCAAGCTGAAGTTGAAGAGGAGGCGAGGAGTGGCCCACCAAGGACCAGCAGCCTCGTTGGTGTACGGGGTCGCCGCCCACGGGCTCTCACCGTGGGCCCTCAGGCACGCGAGGAGGAGGTATGCGCAGGCGCTGAGGAGAGCTTGGCCAGGCCGCTGCCTCACCACCTTCCTGGCGCTGGAGGGGGTCGACCCAGCGATCGCCGCGACGCGGAGCCAGCTCAGAGATTGGTTCGACCTGTGGGCCAAGAGCCAGGACCTGCGCGAGCAGGCGCGCAAAGCCTGGCCCAGGGTATACTTCAGGCTCCTGAAGAAGGACCCGAGTCGGCGCTGGCAGCAGAGGCGAGGAGTGATGGGCAGCATCATCCTGCTGCTCTGGGAGCTAGGCTGGGACTCGAGGGGGCCAGACATCTGGGTCGACGAGGACGGCAGCAGATGGGGCTTCCCTGAGGATGAGGAGGACGGAGACCCAGAGGACATCATAGAGGCGCTCCTGGACAGCGTGAGGCGGCAGCTGTGGAGACAGGAAGCAGCACACCACAACGGCGCTGGCCTGGAGCACGGGGTGGACTGCACGGATATGATCAAGCACCTAGAGTCCCTCAGGAAGCGCGGCAAGCACCAGACCTACGGAGCGCTGCTGGCGGCAGCGTGCGCAGGCACTTGGACGCAGGCAAGGAAGCGCCAGGAGTTCAACACTGGCGACGAGACCTGCGAGTGCGGGCAGCGTGAGGACGACTACCACCGCATCTGGGGAGCATGTCCTGCGAGGAAGCCCTTGGAGGTGGTCGAGAAGACAGCAGGGCTCGTCGCGAGAGCCGAAGCAGGTGTGGCGGGAGCCCCAGCGTTCTGGCTCAGAGGGCTCACGCCCAAGGCATGGACGGTGCCACCCCGTGCTGCACCGAGCAGCAGGAGACGCCGCTGGGGCAGTGCCTCCAGGGAGGCAGGCTGCAGGCCCCAGAGGGAGAGCAGCTCACCATCAGCGGCGACGGCTCAGGCGGCGAGTACAGCAACGACGTGAGGTACAGGCGATGCGGGTGGAGTTGGGTGCTGCTCGGCACCAGCGGGCGCTCCAGAGGCTTCCCGACCAGAGCCGCGAAGTTCGGCCCTCTGCCAGGCGCGCGCCAGTCGAACAACAGGGCGGAGCTTTGGTCATTCATCAATTGCCTGGAGTCGACGAGCGGGGGCCTGACGTTCTGGACGGACAGCGAGATCACCCTCGCCGGCTGGCACGCACGGCGCGATGAGCGACCAGACGGAGCAGCCAACTGCGACCTCTGGCGCCGCGTGCGGAAGGCCATCGACGCGAGGGGAGGAGGCAAAGAGATCGTCACAATGTTCCACCTGAACAGCCACCTGACGGAGACGGAGGCGGAGGAGAAGCGCATCCCAAGGGAGGCTTGGGAAGGAAACCAAGAAGCAGACAGACTGGCAGACGACCTGGTGAAGCTCAGACGAGGACGAGGGTGGAGGTGCAAGTGCTGCAGCCAGTCGGTCACGTCGGCGACGGCCCTCACCAGCATCAAGGAGTGGTTCGAGCAGAAGTGCGGAGGCCCGCCCCCAGCGGCTGGCAGATGCATCGAGTACAACGGCCACACCTCCCACCCATCGCACCCTCTGCGATGGCTGGGCCGCCAGAGGCGCTGGTTCTGCACGCTCTGTGCGAGCTCAGCCACGGAGATGGTCTCGGACAATCTGCAGGCACCCTGCCGCCTCCGCCCCACCTGCGAGTCGAGGAGATACCTGCTGAAGAGCTGGACCAAGCTTGCAGACGCAGAGGAGTGGAGGACGTGGCCAGGAGACAAGTCAGAAGAGAAGACTGGGGATAGCCTCCCAAGCGTAGCAAGGATGGGCGAGGATACGTCAGATGCAAACCCTGGGGATGGCCTCCCAAGTTCGGCAAGGTCCGACGCGGAGCCGTACGACGACCACGCCGCGGTGCACGACAGCGACATGGCTCCCCTGCGTGAGGACCACCTCCCACCCCTGGGCCCAGGAGTGCCCAGAGGCCCCTCCAAGAAGGATAATGGGACGGGGGCGTCCCGCGCCGCGGGACGCACGCTGGGGCAGGCGGACGCGCTGGGCAGGCACTGCAGCGACAGGCTCCACCAGAGGCGACGAGAAGCGGAGAGACGAGCGGAACGGAGCCAGGAAGCTGCAGACGCCGCTCCACGCTCCCCGCCGCGGCCACCCAAGCCCAAGCTGAGCGAGCAGGAGACCGAGGCGAGGGCGACGCGGCTGCTGGAAGCGGCGGCGACGCCGAGAGGACTGGATAGTCAGAGCCAGCTGAGGGAGCCCGAGCAGCACAAGCAGCTCTACGAGACGGACTCCAGCCAGAGGAGACGAGAAGAAGCCAGGCAGGCGCTGGAGGCCGCAAGAGAGAGCGAGAGAGAGAGAGAGAGAGAGAGCGCGGTCCAGCCCGACGGCTACGCCAGCCAGGAGAGGCAGCCCGCCCAGGACCGAGGCGCTGCTGCCGCTGGCGACGCTGAGGCAGCTCCTGGCGAGCCCCACGCCGCCGCCCCAGCCGCCTGCGGGGGCGCGGCGACCCGCGCGGCGGCCCGCCCCGCCTGGCGCGCCCTCAGGCGAGAGGCTGGCCCAGGGGCCGCCACGCGTGAGGCACGCCTCGCCCGCTGGAGGAGGGCCCTGCTGCGGGCTCGCGCAGCGGGCGCCGCGGGCGCGGCCCGACGCGCCCCCAGGCGCGGGGCCAGGCCGCCTGCGAGCCGCCGACGCCGCCGCCGCCGCCTCGAAGACGCCCTGAGGTGGGCGGGCGGCGGAGCGGCGACCTTCGACCATGTCGTCAGGGGAATGTCCAGGGAATGTCTCACACCACCTCACACCTCGAACCTTACACCTCCTCCTCGTCATCCGAACTTTTCCTTAACTACTGCACATTATGGATGCTACACTCCTCTCTCCCCTGACTCCGTCCACGAGGTAGCCTGGCTTCATACTGGATCTCAAATACTGTTTGTTTTATGCGTTTGTCTTTTACCATCCGATCGTCTTCTGTGTGTTGGAAATGGTACTCCCGCTGCAGCGTAGGCCTCATTTACGGATCGTCGCTTTGCCCCAGTCGTTCAGAATGGCGCTCTCGCCCAAACGTGGGCAACGTTTCTGGATCCGAGTCCTTTTGCAACGTTGCGCCCAACTTATTTCCCCTCCTTGGCTTTACTCTGGTCCTTCTGCTCCTCCAGCTCGTCCCACTCCAGCTCCTGCTGCTGCTGCTGCTGTTTGTCCTCATCCTCTTCCGTCCGCATCCTCATGTTCTTTCTGCTCATCCTCCTGCTCATCAACCACCACCATGCACGCAACTCTCCACTTCCGATTGCGCTACATTGGCACAAACGGGCTACTATTGAAATTATGGGTCCGCTATGGCACGTGCCCGAGGACAAAGAAAAACTGCGCCATATGGAGAGATTGGTGGGAGGAATTGGATGTCAGACATGGCGGGAGCACACCTAGCTTGTCCTCCTGCTCTCTCCTCTCTCCTTCTCCTCCTCCGCCTCCCTGCTGCTTCTCATGGAAACCATTGCGAGTCTATCACCGCTCTACGCACAGATCAAGACGTGCGCCATGACGACAACGCAGCGCAGCTCCACAACGGTGTAGGCCGCCAAGAGCACCCTCCTCCTCCCTCCTCCTCCTCCTCCCCCTCTTCATCCTACTACTGCTCCTCTTCCTCGGACGTGGCGCCGCCATGCGAACTGGCCAACTGAGGCCGCACAATGGAGCACGATCCACGTGCGGCGTGTACTGAATTGGCGTGCAGCGGAGTGCGGCCCACCTCCGCTGTGGCCTTGCGTGGAGCTCTCTGTTGGTGGCATGATCCCCTGGGTCGTGTCACGACTAAGGCGCAGGGTGGCTTGTGGTCCACCCCCAACTCGGGCGGGGTGTGCCGAGAAAACAGAAAGGCATGGTATGAGAGGAGGGAGGGAAGGAGAGGCGGGAGGAGCCGCGCGGCGCTGCGGATTCACAGCGAGGGCCCACAAGCACGGGAAGGTCGAGAGAGGACGCCCTGAGGGAGGGGTGGAGACCTCCAGGGTCCCCTGTTGGAAGAACAGCACGTCGGAAGCACTGACCTCGCACACGTCTTGCTCCTCCTCGTTTTCACTTTTCCAACGCGTGTGGTAGAACAGCGCCCGCTGCCAGTTAGGGAGCACGCCCAGCGTGACCACAGGAGAAAGCTGCATAGGGATGCCAGTGCTCCGAGAGGGAAGCGGGGAAGGGGACCAAATGGAGAGATTCGACATCGCGCACCGCAAGCGGCAGAAACAGAATCCGCCGACATTTCGGCGTGTGTGAGACGCTGTTGTCGTCTTCGTCGTCGTCGCCAGTCCCAAGAAAATTCAGGAACGAACAAAAAAATAAAAGTCGTAGTTAAGTCGACTTCCTTATCATTTTCAATTCCCTGACGGGGGTCAAATAATGGGGTGGGGGGGTCGGGGGGGGTTACGGGGGAAGGGGGGGGGGGTCCCGGTTCAGATTGCGGCCCCTCAGTGGTCCTGGCGGGTCCCGGGGGTGTGGTCCCACATGTGGACGGGGACAGGGAGGGGTGGATTCCCTCTGTGGGGGGGGATTTGTGGTCCTGGCCCCGGCCCCGATCCTGGCCCTGGCCCCGGCCGCGGGGTCCAGGGGGAAGTCGCGCCTTCAGGGTCGGCGGCGCCTGCCGGAAGGCCTTCACAATATTCGGACCTTCTCGCTACGCTCTCATCAACCAACAGATGGCCAACTGTCGGCGGCGAGCCCAGGGGGGTGTCAGAGGGGGCAAGCCTTCTCAGAAGGCGGCGATGCTTCTCAAGAAGCCCTCGCGCCTTCTGAGAAGGTCTGCCCCCTTCTGACTTTCCCCCTTGGCTCGCCGCCGGAACTGAGAGACGGCATCATCCTGTACATCCGACTGGCACCTTCTGTATGTCATCCTTCTGGTATTGACCGATCACTCTTGTCTTCAGGGTACAGATCACTCTTGTCTTCAGGGTACAGGACGGTGTGCTGTGACTGCGCTGGCAAAGAAAACATGTGCCAAATCCAACTTGCACTCGATAGGGATAACATCATGGCGAACAAACAAATCGATCCTGGACCATCCGCAGCAGGCAATCGCACAGGGCGTAAGCTACCTGCACAAACGGCGCACGACCAAGCATCATGCATCAAACGGCCTTCGACACCTGCCCAGCATGCGAGCATCTGGCTTTCTGCATGGGGCACGGCAAATGGCCCAATGCTGGTACTGAACTGCTCGAGAACCCTTGCCTGCAAACACTCGCTGGTATACCCGAACCTCCGACGGCACGCTTTGTGTTGCGACTTCGGCGGCCCGCTTCTCGACCGCTTTCCCAAAACTGATGTCTCATCCCACTTGGACACCCGAGACGGAAACGGAAAAATGAATACGACGCCCAACAACAACCGTTGTCCGACGGCCGCTGTTGGGTAAATGGCCTTCTATCTCAAATGGACAACGTCCGCAACCACGCCGACAATGAACCCGGTTCAAAATGGACAAGAAATGCTGACGGTCTTCGTAGCCATGTTTTCGTACCCATTTCGATCGTACCGATTCCAGCTTCTGGGCGCAGCCTGCATTTAACAGTCTGGGGATCAGGGCTGGCAGAATCGATCGCATCACACCTAATTATTAGCAGGAAGATGCAGGTTCCGGCGGTAGGGCGCGACTATTGCTTCATAATCTTAGGTTCGGACGCCGTTTTGCAGCGGGCGAACTTTGAAAAGTTCGGCGACGGGTGGTGGAACCTACGGCGACACAACCATCAGGACGTTTTAATGAAATACCAGGTAACGATGATCACCTACTCGTACACATCCCGCTCGGAGCTAAGACCAACACGCGTCAACGTACAATTCGATGATCCTCAAAACGTGTGTTAGCGCCAAAGGGAACGCGGGCGGCGCAACGAGGGCCAGCACAAGCTTATCGGCGCACCTGAACAGGGTAATCGCACGATTGGGCCACATTCGAGTTTGATTGGAGAGGACACGCGAGAGGACACAAGACCATTCTGAGGACCACGTTGCCGTAGGAATATAGAAGGCATGGGGCATGGGCCGCTAAACACAGGACACAAGTGCGCTCTTGATTTTGCAGGATCGACCTACTGCGCCGATCCGAAAAAATCCAAGATTTGCGGCGGTGCATCTCCTCGCCGCCGATGCCGGCGCGAGATGAGGCCACTAGGAGCCGCTCGGGGAGCGGTCGTGGAGGGGCGGCGGGGGCTAAGGCAGGACCGGGGCCTGCCGCATTTGGCCGCAAGGGCCTGGCACATTGTGAACCCAGCGCCCCGCCCTCTGAGCCGGAATCAAGTTTCGGCTCCAAATTCAAAAATGAACAGTGGCCATACCGCATGAGACTTCCTCCGAACAACTTAGTTATCGTGGAAGCATGACCATACCGCATGGACATACCATACCGTCTGATAATACCATACCGTTCCATACCATACCGCATGAACATACCAAAATGACCAGACCGCATGATCGAACTTCCTTCGCATGATCATACCGCATGAGCACCCCCGGTGATCAGAGAAAAATGTACAAACGGGGTTGGTGTTGAATATTGCACATGCTGGTGTTGAAAACGAGAGTGGGATCGAAGTATGTGATTTTCTAACTTATCCAAGCCAAACTTTTGAAGTCGTTGCCGGTCCTTGAACCATATCAGTGCGAATGGTTGATGAAAATCCGCATTGGCGCCTCACGTCTTCAATTTTCATGTCGCCCGGTTCGACAAATCAGCGTTTCGTATTTGTAATCGGTGTTGGCCGGCCTCCTGCTCAGCGTAGGGCAAATCATGCAAATATAATTTGTTCATCGTGCTCCTTCTCGTCCTCCCCCCCTCCCAACGGATTTGTTTTCCATGCGAGACTGCTGGCAAAGTCCCGTCTCGTCATGTCGGGTTCAAAAGAATCCGTTTGCCGACGCCCCGTGCCGGCGTATGGCTTCTGGCTGTCTGTCTGTCAACTGAGCCTTCCTCCGAACAACTTATCATGCTGGCTCCAATGACGACCCGAGCATGTTTACGGCCAGCCCAAAAACGGCCGGCCGATGTGCGTGGGACTTGTACCAAAAAAAAAAAATCTGGTCCTGTTCGCCGTGCCCGAAAATGTGTGTCACGCTGTATTTTCCAGGGTGAGTTTCTTTATTCGCAGCGATAACGGGCATTATGGGGGGGCAAGGGGGAGCATAACGTAACGCCCCCCTCCACCTCCCGGCAGTGTGGTTCCGGCACCACCGCAGCGTCCGCGCGCACGACGACGACGAGCGACGAGCGACGACGTCGACGACGAAAACGACGACGAACACGACGACGACGACGAAAACGACGACGACGACGACAACGGACGACGACAACGACGACAACGATGACGACGACGACGACGACCGACGACGACGACGACAACCGACGACGACGACGACGACGAGCGACGATGATGACGGCGACGGTGACGACCACGAGCGACGCCTCTGGAGTTCTCCTGATGTCTTCCGGGGCCTCTGGAAGCCTCCTGAAGCATCTGAAGGCCTCCAGAGGCCCTCTGAAGGTCGCGGAAGGCCTCCAAAGGCTTCCGCAGGCCATCGAAGACCTTGGACGGCGTTCAACGACGACGAAAAGCGGCGAGCGACGACGAGCGACGACAACGACAACGACAACGACAACGACGACGACGACGACGACGACGAAGACAACGAGCGACGACGAGCGACGACGACGACGACGACGAAGAGCGAAGATTGTAAGAGACGAGTTGTGGCGAGCACATGCATGCGGAGGTGTCGCTGCCTCCACGTGGCGTATAAGAGGTATGCTCTTTCCCTCCCTCCTCCTTCCTCGTCGTCGTCGTTCTTCTCCTCCTCTTGCTCCTTCTCTTACGACCGCCACAAGTGCCTGAGAATACCGCAACTTGCCCACGACCACCGCGGATCCTTATCCGGATCCCTTCTGGGATCCCTACGCGGATGCCCGTGCCGATGCCTGTGCGGATCCCTACTGGGCTCCCTATGCGGCTTCCTGAGGAGATCCCTGTGCGGACCCGTATGCGGATCCCTATGCGAATTGCCATGCGGATCTGTATGCGGATTCATATGCCGATCCCTATGCAGAGTTCTATGCGGATCTCTATACGAACCCCAATGCGGATCTGTATGCGGATCCTTATGGGGATCCCAATGCGGATACATACGCAAATTCTTGTGTGAATCCCGACGGATGTCCAAATGCGATCCCCATGCAGGCGGATCCCTATGCGGATTCTTATGGAAATGCCGATGCGGATCCCTATGCGCACGGCGGCAGTGCCGGGGGTGCACTGGGGGGAAGCGTTACCTTAGAGCGGGGGGCTGGGGGCCATGACGCGCGGAATGGCCCAAACAATAAAAACACGCTCCTACACAATTGCACTTGTTCGGCGGACCCTTTTCTGCCCCTGGTGGTCCGGAACGCGGGCTAGATTTGTTTGCGATCGCGTCAGAGCGCGGTTTCTGCCAAATCGTGTACGACTCCCTTACTGCACCGACCTTGCAGTCACGCGGTTGCGCTGCATCCGCACGCACCCGTGGTTCGTAAAACGGCATGAATTTTCGGAACGCCGATGTACACTGATCAAACGCGACACCATTTGAGGATCATCAAATCATGGCGGATGCTACGAACTCTTCACGCGCCAATGCAGTGTCGAAATGGCAGCCCCAACCCCAACACCAAATGACCCACGGAGCTTGTGCCACCCGCCAGGCCGAAGCAGACGCTCGCTGGACTTGTGCGCTTGCATGCTTATCCCACCAGCCCTCTGGGCGTCGGTGGTTTAGAGCGTTTCCTCTTCCACCCCTCTTTCTTCCCCTTCGGGGAGGGGTTTACCCCTCCCCCTACCCCCTCCCCTGGGCTTGGACGGGGGGGTCCGCAGGTCGTTGGGGCGTCCAAGATGGCCTCGGCGAGGAAGCCAAAATCATTGATTTTACTCTTTAAGGTTTTGACCACATTTTGGCCTCCTGGGGGGGCAACGCTAGTTCCCACCCACCCCTTCTTTAATCGATCTCCTCCAAGATGGCCCCAAGAAGCGCCCAGCAGGCCCCAAGATGGCCCCAAGATGGCCCCAAGAGGCCCCCAGGAGGCCCCCAAAAGACCCCCAAGAGGCCCCAAGAGACCCCCAAGAGGCCCCAAGAGGCTCCCCGAGATACGCAAGAGGCCCCCAGGACCGCCAAGAGGCCCCAAAGACGGCCCAAGAGGCCCCCAAGGTCGCCATTGTCCTCCTCCTCCTCCTCCTCCTCCTCCTCCTCCTCCTCTTTCTCTTCCTCCTCCCTCCTCCCCCTCCCTCTCCTCCTCCTCCTCCTCCTCCTCCTCCCTCCTCCTTCTCCTCCTCCTCTCGTCCTCCACCCCTCCTCTCTCCTCCTTCTCCTCCTCCTCTCCTCCTCCTCCTCCTCCTCCTCCTCTCCTCCTCCTCCTCTCCTCCTCTCCTCCTCATCATCATCATCATCATCATTCATCATCATCATCATCATCGTCATCGTCATCGTCATCGTCATCGTCATCGTCATCATCATCATCATCATCATCATCATCATCATCATCATCATCATCATCATCATCATCATCATCATCATCATCATCATCATCATCTCATCATCATCATCATCATCATCATCATCATCATCATCATCATCATCATCATCATCATCATCATCATCATCTTCCTTCTCCTCCTCCTCCTCCTGCTCCTCCTCCTGCTCCTCCTCTTCCTCCTCCTACTCCGAGGACGACGACTCTTCCTACATCCTCCCCCTCTTGGGGTATATGGCGGGTTACCCCGCCTTTTGTTATTCTGCATGCTCCCCCGCTTCCCTCATCACATCCACTCCACTGGGGTTCATTTCTGGACGGGCTGGTGGGGATACGCGGAGCGTTTAGAATTTGTGATATTCTTGTCAGCGTTCGTCGTGACACCCAACTGGCCGACGCACGCGGACGGGTTGGGTGGCACAGCTTTGCGAAACAGCGCGCGCGCGTTTTTTCAGCAAAATCCAAAATCTAAGCGTGGCAGAAAATATAATAAGAAACGACTCCTCGCAACAAATATCACAAACGATTCTGGGGGGTCCCGGGGGGGGCCCCGGGGGGGTAGGGGGGGGGTCCTGGGTCAAATACGCCGCCCTCCCAGCGTCGCTTCTGTACCTTCCCTACAGCCTTCTCCTCCACTGCGCCCGTCGCTTTCTCTCCTTCCCACAACCTTTTCCTGGAGCCGATGGTTCCAGGTTCGGCGGCACAGGCCGTAAGGCCCGCGCAATCACAAACGACTTCGCCCGAGCACAAGGCCATCAAACCGGATGACGACCACATCGAATATTAAACCATGTTAAAAAAATAACGGGGTTGTGTTCGCTTCGGCTTGGTACTTCCCGGCCACGGATATACCAGACTGGAGTCGGACTTCGATTTCAACGGAATTGCGCCTCACACTATTGGGACAAAAACTGCTTCACAATAGTCAACAAGGGCCAGCTCGCAGTTGTCGCGGCCGCTGCGGAGCATGCGGCTTGGCTTCGTGCGCGTGCAATTTTCGTCCCCGCCATCCACTGGAACCCATGGACGTTTGGCTGAATTTCTGCAGTGCCTGCGCGGGAAAGATTCAAACCGATCACGTCCGATTCAACAGCTATGACGCCGACGGGAATACACCCAAGATTCGGCTGGACTGCCAAGAGCGAGGCGGTGCCGAATTCCGCCTTCCAAGAATTGCAAGTTGATGGACGTATCCAGAAGCCCCCAAGATGCCTGGAGAAGGGCTCCCCGGCTGCCCAACCTGTGAAACATTGCGGCGTCTACATGTGTTCGTCGGCGGTTCGGCAAAATCACTGCGCTGGCAAGGAAGCACGGGAGCGTCTTCAAGCACTTGGATTCCAACGTGGGTCTGCTATTATGGCGAAGGGCATAACATAGACATGCGTTGCAACGCAAATTCTGCCTATCTGTGCGTATGCGGTCTGGCGAAGCGGGGCGGCATCAACGCGACGCCAAGGACCGTCGTGGACGCGAGCCTTTGACCTGGACGCACGCCGAGAAAGACTACCAACATAATGAAATTCTGCAACCGATCACTGCGTTTGGGGGGGCGCACGGACAAGCAAAACACGGATCAACTCAACGTTGGCTAGCGCCCGCCTCGCCCTCATGAGCCGCCCCCGCCTCCTCCCGATATCCCATCGTTTTCGCCCCACCCTCCCCATGCCCCATCCGACCCCTCCACGCCCCCACATGCAAATTCATACCGTTCCTCCTCGTCCTCGTCCGCCGAATGCGTTCCCCCATCATCCACATCCCGGCCTTCCTCCCATCCTCTACGCCATAGTGCAGATCATACCCTGTCCTTCTGCCAAGCCCCGCCTTCCTCGCCTTCGTGATGTTGCCACCGATGATGCAATTCCTCTTTGGCCTATGTCCTCCCCTCTCGTCCTGTCGCTTTCATCCCCCGGTCCCGTCGCCACCTTTTCCTCTCGAGCCCCTTCCCTCCAATTGACCCGCATACCCGCCCACCCGCGCTTTTGCCCTCACAGACCACTGCCCCCTCCTGGATCAGCCGGGGGATCCGCGGAAACTCCCACCCACTGACAACTCCAGCGAACACATGCACAATCGGGCACGCAAACAATGCATTTCGACCGCGTACAGCGCCCACTCTGGACCTGGACCAGCCGAAAACGAAACGTGAAAGCTCCCGCCCAATCAACACCACCCGCGAGAAGCACACTCCAAATACACCGATAGGAACAAGATCTGGGTACACAGGTCGCACCACGATCTGTGTGAACACTGGGCCCACACACAAATTCACAGTTGACGACACCAGCTGTTTACACCTCTAAATGTGCATTGCGCAAAGGTAAACGCTCGCCACCTCGAGATCGCCCCAACCTTTCCAACCCTGGACCGAAGTCGACGTGTCCAGCTGAGGGGGAAACGCACATAAAATACACACTTTCCTGGCCCAGGGCGGCCCCGAGGGGGCTGCAAACAAGCGCTTCCCTGACCCAAGGCAGCTGCGGCGAAATGCGATACCAAAACGGCCCCAAACGGCCACAGAACGCCCCCAAAAGGCCCCGAATGACCCCCTTTGTAAAAAAGGCATCGCAGCACTCCGAAACACACAAGAGGTGTCACACGCCGTGGACCTTTTTGACAGAGCACCACGCGTCGCCATAAGATCGCTGCGCAGGCAATAGGGCGGACCTTGCCGCAACCGCCTATACATTCACACGTTAGCGATGCGCTTGGAGTACGCCTCGGTCGCTTGCAACGGCAATCTCCTCTGTTTGGTTGCGCCGTCGTGCTCTGATCTCGTACGGGCGGTATATCGCTGATGTGGGCACGCGACACCAGGGACTTCACTTCCCTTCTTCGAACAAAGACGGAGGACGAGGTAGGACGACGGACGGTGGAGCAGGGAGGCACAGCGGAAGGAATAATCATGGGTGAGGTGGAAAGGGGCGCTTTCCCGCCCGAGCCGCGGACGCTGTCGACACCATCCAGGGGGGAGAAAGGAGGGGTGCGGACCAAGGGGGAGGACGACGACGCGAAGCAAACTGTCCTCGGTCCGCATATAGCCATACGCTTGCGATTGGGGTGCGCGCGCTTTCTTCGAGGCACTTCAAGTCCGGCCCATAGTGAATCCGAAGCCCGCAAGAAGCCCCCCAAAGGCCCAATAACTTGGCCCAAGATGCCTCGAGGCGGCCGGATATGGCCTGCAGACAGGCCAAGATGCCACCAACAGGCCGCAAAAGAGCACCAAGAGGTACAATCACAGCAACGAAGCAACAAGAACGATGTCGAGCGCCGTGTCATGATTCGGACAAGCCTCGTAAAATGCAGTCCTGGAGGCGCAATAGTTTATACAGGGGTCGGCGGATGTGGCGTAAGACTATAGAATTCACGAATTCTTCCCAACTGTGTAAACACGATGCCCTCGGTACCCCCTCCTATACAACTGCCTTACAACAGAAGGGCAGTGTACTCCAGCTACACACCGGATCTCTTCGCCGAACCCCTTGGCTACCTGGCCGGCCAAACGACGTGGTGTGTCCTCCTCCCTCTTCCCTCCTCGTTCGAGCTACCTATTCTTGGCTCCCTTTGCGTCTCCCTATAGGGATGCGGCCCTTGAGCACAAGGTGCTTGGTGACGCCACCCCTGGAAGGAGAAGGGGCATCAGCAACGTTCCGGCGGCCCCCAGGAAGGGACGGTGAGCCGCTAGATGCGTCGCGGGGCTACACCTGCCTGCGATACAGGCGAGCCAATGCCCCGAACAGCCCAACCCACAACACGCCCCCCCCGCTCTTCTCCTTTCTTCTCTTCCTCCTCAAGGTCTCAGCGCCTCGCTGTGACTCTGCCACTTGCGGAGCATCGTCATGGCCTCCGCGCATGTGGCCAGGGGGGCGGGGGCGGTCCGGCGGCGGCGCAAAACCCCGACCGGCAACAAAAGACTACCTTTTCGAAGGGCTAAGGAAGTCGTCCTCTCTGTCGCAGTCGTCGCCGTTGCCGTCTGCGCCATCGTCTGCGCGGCTGTCGTCGGCGGCGTCGTTGGCATCGTCGCATCGTCGGCGCCGTCGGCGTCGTCGGCATCGTCGACGGCGTCGTCGAAGGCGGCGTCGTCGGCGTCGGCTACGGCGTCGCTGGCGGCGGCGTCGTCGAAGCCGCCGACGTCGGAAGAAGTGGTCGTGAAGGACGACGACGAAGAGTGCGAGGAGCAAGCGGAGTGGACCGCTTGCATTGCGATGATGCGCTAGCACGGTGGCGGTACACCGCAAGCAACTGCACGTCTGTATACCACCTGGTCGGCTGGTATCAAAAAAAGAACGTGTTGCGCCGATGCAGCGCGGACTGGAGGAAGACTGCCAGGATGGGTACAAGTGGAGGAGAACATCCAAGCATCATGTACTAATCATGTTCTAGCATCAAATGTCAGTCCATCTCGACCTGGCCAGTATAAAAGAAGAGCGCGAGGGGAGGAAGCGGAGGAGAAGGGCTCTCCAGCTGACATGCGGATCGCCGTCGGGCAAACGATGGGAGAAAGCAGGAGGCATGTCGACAGCCTCCCAGGGCGACAGGGCTGCTAGTGGTGAATGCCCAACCTCCATGTTCGATAACATCCTGGTTGCTCGACGGCTACACCATTCAAGGGCAACCCATTGAAGAAACGATCACTTGACAAATAGATTCCCCGTGCCGCCAAATGTCGCCACTAACAAGTACTGCATCACATATGGGGGTGCCAAGGTGGACTGCCAGGACGACAACACACGTCAGAGCTCGCAGGACTGCGTATGAATTGTAACAAACAAACGGCGAAGTACGATTTAGTGTACGTGCGTTTTCATGCAATTATCGACATGGGCGCATATGGATGCAAATGAGTAAGTGCACGGATCCGCAACAGCCGATCGGTGAGAGGAAACAACAGTTCGCCAGATCTAGCAACATTGAAGGCTGATGATGAATACCGTGCGGGCTGCAACCGCCGCCAAATGCCAATTTGAGAGGAGAAGAATGGCGGGGGGGAGACGAGAAATGCTTAGGAAGAGGAAGCTGGAAGGGGCGGGGTCAGAATCATGAGGATGGCAGCGAGGAGAAGGCTGGGGAGAGGAGGAAGAGGATGATCATGGGGCGATAGGAAGGAGGACGAAGAGGAGGCAGGACGCAGGACGATCATGAAACTGATGAGGGCAAGGCGGAGGAGTTTCGGTCCGTCCTCCATCTGATTCTTCCCCCCCGACGTCTCGTCATCTTCGTCCCCATCCTCCTCGTCATCCTTCTCGTCCTCTTTGCCCATTTCCTCATCATCTCCGTCCACCTCAACCCACATCGCCGTCGCCGACGATGACTGCGGACGCATGACGGCGGCCGACGACGGCGATTGCTCCTCAACATCGACCTTCGGGCGTTTCCTAGGGCCGTCTGAGCAAGATTTCGAGGCGAAACAAGCCGTGGTGACGAGGGCCTTCCAGGACACCCAAAAACATAACGACATCAAGGCCCCTTCCTCGGAAGACGCCGACGGCGACGGCGGCAACGTTTGCGGCAGCAAAGGTGACAGCGGCGGACACGGGGCTAGACAGTGCCTCCAGAGGGAGCTGACATTAAAATGAACAACTGGCCGTCGAGCGACGCCCAGAGGTCTGGGGACGCCGTCGACGACGCAGTCGGCAGCAACAGCAGCAGCAGCGGCAAGCAGCAGCAACAGCGGCAATGTCGGCGGCGACGACACCACCGGCGACGGCGGAGACGACGGCAACGTCGGCGGCAGAGACGGCGACGGAGGCGGCCGTTGAGCCCGAAAGCGGCCCTGGGTGGCTGATTTTGCGTTGTTTGAACATCCGCTGACCCCCGCTTGCCGGGGGTGAAACGGCGTGTGAGACATGCGGCTGTCCCCCATCCCAAGGGTCTAAGATTGCATTTGAGGGGGGGGACCCCCAGAACTCATTATCAACACTAGGGGGCCCTCGAAGCAACGGCCTCAAGATGGACAAGTCGGCCCCCAAGACAGCCCAAGAGGTTCCCAAGATGACCCCGAAAAAGGGCCTCAAGAGGCAGATATCACTCCCCAGCAGTGCTTGCACGTCGGAGTTCGCACTCAGGTTAATGAAAGAACTGCATGGCTGCCGCCCATGCCGCCTCGTGGGCGCCCGCGCACAAAGGGGCAACTTTAGGTTTTCGCCGCGCTGCCGCCCGTGCCGCCTCGTGGGCTCTGCGTGGGCGCCCCGCGCTTGGGACGCAGATGGGGTTGTCTCGCCACGTTGCCGCCGAGTGGGCGCCCCCATAGCACAATCCAGATAGGTTCAGAATTCCGAGAAACGTTAGGATCCCCCCCCTCTGCGTTAACGATACGCCTTTTCGTCTTGCAGTTTACATATGATTCTGCCCCATCGCACATACCACCCGATCCCGACTGGAGTTCGCCCCCCCCTCTCACCTTCTCCAAAACATATTATGCGCGCGCACTCATTTATCAACAAACATGTTCACGAATCTTTTGCCAAAAGACAAACGAAGCGCACGCGAGCGCGTCGTCGCTGGTATCGCAAGGATTTAAAATCAAGAGCACTGAGACTTATACTTATATATGAACACATGGGATTTGCAACACCAGTTTTCAAAAACGCCTGCGCTCGCGCTCTTGCGGGTTCTTGGGAGCACCATCAGTGTTCCACCATGTTCATAAAATCCCACCAGCCCTCTGGGCGTTGGTGGTATTCCCTTTCGGGGAGGGGTTTACCCCTCCTCCTACCCCCTCCCCTGGACCTGGACGGGGCGCCCCGCGAGCGGTCAGGGCGTCCAAGATGGCCCAAGATGGGCCCAAGAGGGCCTCAGAGAGCCCAAGATGGCGTCCAAGATTGCTCAAGATAGCGCAAGATGCCTCGAGATGGCTCCCAAGATGCTCCAAGACGCCCAAAGACTGCCCCAAGACGGCTCCAAATTGCCAAAAGAGCTCCCCAAGGTTGCCCCCACAGGGCCAAACTCCTTCAACACCTTGGTAAATCAATGGTTTTGGCTTTCTCGCCTTTTCGCTTCCGATGGCCATTCGAGGCCTTAAGATAGCTCCAAGATGGTCTAAGAGAGCTTTAAGAAGGGCCCAAGGGAGCCCCAAGACGGCCCCAACAGCGCCCAAGAGCGATCCAAGAGCGCCCAAAGAACGCTCAAAAAGGCGACTTGGGGGGCTCCCGAGGGGAGAGGCTAATTGAGGGAGACCCCGTCTCTGATCGATGTCCTCCAGGAAGCGCCCAGGAGGCCGCAAGAGGCCCCAAGATGGCCCCAAGATGGCCTCAAGAGACCAGGATCGCCAAGGAACCCTCAAGACATCCCAAGAGGCCACCAAGAAACGCCTAAGAAATATCCCAAGAAGCTCCTAGAGGCATCCAAGAGACCTCTGACTATTGTGCTTGCCCTCCTCCTCCTCCTTCCTCCTCCTACTCCTTCTCTTCCTCCTCCTCCTCCTCCTCGTCCTCGTCCTCCTTCCTTATCCTCCTCATCCTATTCATCTTCGTTTTCCCCACTTCCTTATCCATCCATCCAGCCTCTTCCTTCTCCTCCTCCCTCCTTCGCACGGTTCATCAGGCCCCCCCTTTGCCCCCGCATTTCCCTGATCACCCCAACTCTTCTGGACATCGTTTCTGGATGGGCTGGTGGGGATACTTTTCTGTCGCGGCCACGGGCGACGGCGCCAGCAGCGGAAGCAGAGTCGGCTCGGGCTACGAGCAAGCCTAATTGCCGGTGCGCGCGCCGAGCTAGGCAGGGCCCGTGGGGATTTTTACCTAACAGCGAAGACTGATAGGTTTCTAGTAGGGTCAAAAGAGAGCAGCAGATGACTCCACAGGGGGGTCTGGGCGGGTGCCGGACAGGGTGCCGCAGAAGTCATTTTAAGCCAACAGTCACACACTTCGTGCTCTTCGACCTCCCAGAACTCCATTCCCGGGCCACATTCTGAATGCCCGGAGCCAACTGTAGGCCACTTCGTGCTCTTCGACTTCCCAGAACTCCATTCCCGGGCCACATTTTGAATGCCCGGAGCCAACTGTAGGCCACTTCGTGGTCTTGTCTTTCGTGCTCTTCGAGTTCCCAGAACTCCATTCCCGGGCCACATTTTGGATGCCCGGAGCCAACTGTAGGCCACTTCGTGCTCTTCGATTTCCCAGAACTCCATTCCCGGGCCACATTTTGGATGCCCGGAGCCAACTGTAGGCCACTTCGTGCTCTTCAAGTTCCCAGAACTCCATTCCTGGGCATGATTTTGAATGCCCGGAGCCAACTGTAGGCCACTTCGTGTTCTTCTAGTTCCCAGAACTCCATTCCTGGGCCACATTTTGAATGCTGAGGCAGGCTGATGCTGCGGCCGAGGCAGGCTGAGGCTGAGGCAGGCTGAGGCTGAGGCCGAGGCTGAAGGCAGACTGAGGCTGAGGCTGAAGCAGACTGAGGCTGAGGCTGAGGCAGGCTGAGGCTGAGGCTGAGCAGGCTGATGCTGAGGCAGGCTGAGGCTGAGGCTGAGGCTGATGCAGGCTGAGGCTGAGGCAGGCTGAGGCTGAGGCCGAGGCTGAAGGCAGACTGAGGCTGAGGCTGAAGCAGGCTGAGGCTGAGGCTGAGGCAGGCTGAGGCTGAGGCAGGCTGAGGCTGAGGCTGAGGCAGGCTGAGGCTGAGGCTGTGACTGCGACTGCCGTTGCCGCTGCGACTGTCATCGCGAATGCGACTACGACTGCGAGAACAGCAGAATTCTACAACTGGATTTTCATCTGAATCTTAAGGGGAATGCTTCCAGATATGCTTCTACACATCGCTGTTAGGTTGCTTTGCCGGGATAATTTTCGCCGCGGCCGCAGGCGAAGGCGCCAGCAGCGAAGACTGATAGGTTTCTAGTGGGGTCAA